AGACTTGTACTCGTTGAGTAGCTGTCTTGCTCATAGTGACGTCGTCTGCAGCACGTGAGGACGGTGCTGTGACCATCAACTACGGATTGTTCGTGGAGAATGCTATGACCTTCCTGATCAACGCCATTTTCCTGTTTTTTGCAGTCAAGAAAGGTGCGTTGCGTTTTTCTCGTCTTTGCTGTGTTTGAGATACTGGTACCGATATGGGATTGTTGGCTTGTCCAGTGTTTGAAGTGGTGTTTAAACGTAACGTGCTGGTCAAGAAGCAGTGCCCATACTGCAAGGAATTTGTGAAGGGTGATGCAACTCGCTGCAAATACTGCCATTCTGACATTGAGTGTCCACCGAGCTCGCGAGGTTTTTGGATGACACCTGTCTGATATTTTATCTATCAATTACTTACACAACTGGTTATTGAGGGTCATGTTTCTTGACGCGATCGTTCAATTTCTCGGCCCAGACAATTTTTGGTTGGTGACGCTTAAACATGACCAGCTTATCAAAAAGCTGTCTGAAGAAAAATCGGGCTCAACACCGAAAAACTGGAAAGCTGGTGTAGCCGTCAAGGTGGACAAGCCTACGCTGCTGTAACAAAGTAAACAAGGCCAATGCATCCACGAAAGCTACTTCGAAGTATTTTTTTCATTGTAAGCTTATCATACACTGCTGGTCCGCTCGCTGAGCTCGAACTCAAAAATCCCTGCAGTCTCCAACTGGCATCGTATCAGTATTTCAATACGAGCCCAGATTGAACAGCATCAAATAATTCAGGATACCTGCAACTACCGATAACAATATTCTCTCTTACGGCCCACGCCTGGCAAAGTTCCAGTCGCTTTGGCAACACCTGTAGAAAAACCATGATGTCTCTGCCGCTAATTATACAGCATTCCCGTCGTATTCACATTATTAAATCGCTTATCCGGTCAGTGTTAGCGCCCTTCATGCGTTGGAACCCGTTCGCTGCGCCACCTCCCCCGCCTGAGAATGCATCGCTGCTCGGTCGCATGCAGGAGCTGGCGAGTCGTGAGCTCGTAACAACGCGTGCGTTGCTCACGGACTTCCAGGAGTTCATCCAGCAGGGCAACATGCTTAACATGGCGGTGGGTCTCATCCTGGGGTCGTCTTTCTCCGCTATTCTCAACTCCTTAGTTGTGGACATTCTATCGCCGATCATCAGCCTATTCACAGGTATTTCAATTACCCAACAGCACAGTTGTGGCAAAAGGATACCAACTCGATATTTGATTGCAGAACGAGGGATTGCGAACCACTACTGGCCCGTACGATGTCCGTCAACGACCCCCGAGTGCTCAGGAGATACCTGGCAAACGTGGAAGGAAGGTAAGACGGTTTGTAGTGTATGACGATGTTTTTGATGGTAGTTCTCATCCTTAATAATGCCACAGCTCGAGATGCAGGTGCCGTGACCATCAACTACGGGTTGTTCATTGAAAACATCATCAATTTCATCATCAACGCTCTCTTCCTGTTCATTGCTGTCAAGAAAGGTGCGTGCATGCATCCGGACATTAATTTAAATTGATAAAAATACTAACTTATGATGATGACTGCGCTTTTTAGCATTGGAGTTCGTCTTCAAACTCAAAGTGGGTGTCAAGAAGCAGTGCCCTTACTGCAAGGAGTTTGTCAAAGGTGCTGCCACTCGATGCAAAGACTGTGGATCGGATATTAGTAACCATCCGAGCACTGGAGGATAAACAATGACCCAGACCTTTGGATGAAACTCGGTAAAAACAGACATTTCATTTTGTCGATCTTACACTTTGTCTTGCACCGTCGACAGTCGAGATTTCGAGGATGGCGACGTATTGCCTGGGACTGGCAACTCTCGAAGTAAACGCACTGCCTCTTCCACTGAAATACTCGGATCATTCGCTAGAATACGCTTGATAATATTGGTGGAGGCCACGATGTCATGCAGTCGGCTCTTAGCGTTCGCAATGGCGAATCGTACTTTACGCACCGCCAGTTTCTCCTGCATATCCGACAAGACTTGAATCGTCGTAGCGTCCAGATCATTCATATTGCACATATCCAGCACCACACCACGCGTAATAATGCCGTTCGCTTTCAAGCGCGTCATTTCACGCTCAGCGAAGAGAGCCACACGCTCGCAGTTGGCAAAGTACAGCGAACTGTCGACACGAATGACAATGACATCGCCGAGATCGTGTGCTTCACTGAAAAGTTCACGGTCGACATATCTCCCGTTGTCCAGCTCGCCAAGGATCACAACGGGTTGTGTCTTGGTCTTCCACATGAGCGCCAGTACTGAGCATACAATGGATGCAATGAGGCCATCCAGCACTCCAAGACCAAGCGTCAAGATGAACGATGCAGTCCATACAACGAACTCATCGCGTTTGACTCGGTACAGCCACTTGGCCTCCTTGAACTCGACCAACGAGTATCCAGCAACAATAATGATCGACGCCAGTGTTGCACTCGGAAGATAATACATGGCACTCGTCAGCGTGTACAGCGCGAGGATCACAATCAACGTCGTGATAATTGACGATAGTTGTGTATGGGCGTTCAATAGATTGACTGCAGTACGGGACATACCTCCCGTAGGGGGCATAGCCTGGAAAAAACCGCAGACGACACTGGCAACGCCCAGACCCGTGAGTTCCTGGTCACAATTAATATCTTCGCCACGCTGAATAGCCAAACGTTTGGACATAGCGATGCTCGACAAGAAAACGACGACTACGACTGTAAGCGAGTTGTACAGGATCGTTCCAAAGCGGTCACTTGCAATTAGTCCCTCATCGAAGCCATACCAAGGCACTTTGGGATCGGGAAAGCCGCCTGGAATCGTACCCGTTAGTTTCAGACGCGACGAACCAAGCACGTATCCAACGATACCACCGACAATGCACACCACCAATGGACCAAGGTCACAAATTGTACGCACAAGGAAAATACCGAGAAGTTTGGTTTTCGACTGTTTCGGTTTTTCGTCAGCCAAATTCTTCTCGGCCACTTCACTTAGAGGCGTGTGGTCACCACGACGTTGACGTGCAGACTCCATACTCATATACTGTTGATCCGTTAGAGAAAAACCGTGACTATGCGTCACCTCAGCATTGTTATTCACCACCGGAGTGACGATCTGTTCGGTCTCCTCTTTGGTCGGTTTGTCAGTCTCGAATAGCTGCATCAGCACTGGCGACGGGAAGAATTTCTTCTTAAAAAGTTTAACACCAATTAGATACACGATGGAAACAGCAGCCACCGCAAACGCAGTCAAGTTGGTGCTTCCGATGTGGTTAAAAACCTGGTACACTGTCTGCGGTGGGTAGTCCTGTGACGGGAATTTGATGCCCAAAGCGTTCGAGAACTGTGACAACATGATGAGGATGCCACCGGCCGATACAAAGCCGCCCATAACTGGTCGAGAGAAGAAATCAGCGAGTTGGCTTAGGTTCAGGATCCGTACGATCAGCAGGATGCAGCCACTTAGGAAAGCCATCATGATACCGGTAGCTACTCGCTCGTTCTCATCGTCAATGTCCTCGAGAATGGTACCAACCAATAGTGAGACTTCAGAGCCGCTGGAGACTGACAGCACCGTGCTGGACCCGAAGATAGCGTACACTAACGGAGCCGTGGCAGCAGTGTACAGGCCGTGGTGAGCCGGGACGTTCATGATCGTGGAAAGCGACACCTCCTGCGGGATGAGCATCATGGCTACGGTGATACCGGCCACGATGTCGAATTTAAGGTCCTTGGCCAAGTTGTACTGCGGCAGCCAACGGAAGATCGGTGCGTAGTGCTGTAGCTGCTGCATCCACGTCCTCTTGGGCATCGCGAACCGCTCGCTCTCGTGATGACCCGTTAGTTGGCGAATGAACGACGCCATCGTGGATCTTGGACTTGTGCCAAAAGCAGCAGAATGAAGAATGAGCTCTGCAGAGGACTGGGCTGGTCATGGCGAAGTGGCTTAGAAACGAGCATCCCGACTAAAGACTGTGACACGCACTGCTAGTGTTGGAGAGGGAATGCACTGGTTTGACGGTTAATGTACGCCAATGAAGGCGGCGTACTCAGTCGAGGTGGCGTGGGATACTGAGATGACTGACACGTGATCGCCAGGAATGGTGTGACGAGCGCCGTTGCGGGGATCAAGACGCGCACTATTGTATCGGATTGCTCAGACCACTTGCATGAACGACAGACTGGAAGCGAAGCGGTAGGAAGGTATAATCAAAACACAGTCGAGGTTGCTGGCGCTTCAAGACTGCTGTGCGCGTACTTGTTGCCTGTTGCTTGGATCTTTAACGGATGCAGTTGACCGTGGACGGTCTCAGCAATACAACGCCGGAATGCCGTGGGAATGTGTCGACGGCGTTATGCGCTGCCATTGGCGTTTGCTGCACCAATGCAATCGGCAGAATGCAGCACGTCAAAAATGTGTTAATGACATGCTTGCGCATGATCTCCAGCTCTCTAGAGCATTTAAGGATGTTGAGGCGGGCCGCTTCGTCTACATGTAGTGTCTGGTATTATAGCCCCTCCTAGTGTTCGCTATCTGTTAATATGCTTTTCACCGAGAGTGTCACCCTCTGAAATGAGGATTTCTCTCGACTTTCTGGCGCCTACCTACTCTATAGAGCAAACAAGATAATAATGCCTGAGCAGGCTGTCCTAGAGAGATTGCTACGAGCCTCCTCGACACATTGCTGCATCGAGGCACCCGTGGACACTTGCCGTTGTTTTCACGTTCTTGGTCTTGAAAACGCGAGTGGTCTTGGTTGACCACGAAGCTTGCACTCGATCAGAAGCATCAGCATGTTCTTCGAAGCGTTCTCGTCTCGATTCACAGTCATACCGTGACAGCCATTGTTGGTGCAATGGAGTACACTGTGGACCTTCAATGTACGCTCGACGCCATCCTTCTTGCATAGACGCTTGCTGTACTGATTCTTCATTTCGCAATGACACACCGAGTGAAGCTTGCTTGTTCGAAACTCGGCAATCGATTCCACGCGACAGTGCTTCTTCAGCTCTCGTCGGAATGAGTTAACTGGACCCGCCGGACACTTTTTGATTAGCCCGCTCACGTCGGTGTTGCTCCAGTCACCGAAGCCAACAACCGTTCGCCTTCCCGCTGGAGCAGTCAACCTCTGACAAAGCTGACGCAGTTTCTTCTTCGCGAGAATGTAGCGGCGGAATCTCAGCTTGCGAAAAGGCTTGTGCATGCGAAAGTCCAGCAGTAAGTCCATACGAGGAGTCATGAACTTCACATAAGCTTCAAGTTGTTCGAGCGAGGCAGTCTTCTTTGTCGGCATGTTGCGCACAGCTTCGAGAACGTCGGGACAATTCTCTTGCCAGACCTTCGTTTTCTGATTGCTCTTCTTGTAGTGAGCGTCTTCATAGAACTCTCGAGTCGTGCAGAAGATCTTTTCACCGAATTGGTTCGTCGCCACAAATAGATCACGTCGACCGGGATCAAGACCCCACAACACATCGTAGTCCTTCTCGTCAAGCGCAGTTTCAACGATCTCTCGCTTCGGCTTACGCAAAACGATGCTCACAGCCTTGCCGTCCGTCTCAATCACACCAGAAAACTTGCGGTTGACAGTTTCGAACTTCTCGATCTTGAACAGCTTCCGCCACCAAGAGTCTGCCTCCGCAATCCAAACGTCTTCATTTGGCACCGCAATGCCAGCGCGCTTCAACAACGCACGAAGTCCGAGATTACACATCGTGAAATGACTGCACTCAAAGCCCTTCTTGG